TGCAGTTAAATAATACTTTTATTTTGTTTTAACTGATAGTGTCACAGTTTGAAAAAAATTCTATTCCATTAAAAAGCGCTGGAGCAATGCAAGTTTTAGCTACTGCCGGTCTGCACAAATTTCTATTTCAGTGTGTTAGTATGTATATGTTAGTGGTGATACGTGATACGCTTAACTATTGATACATCGAATCAATATGTGAAGGGTGTTCCCTATTTCTTAGCGAGAGTTAACGAGGACATTATCAGCATACAAGTGTACACTACATTCAAACAACGCACTGGGAAGGTTATTAACATATAATGTAAACAATAAGGGACCAAGCACAGACCCTTGGGGTGCACCATGTTTAACATTTTCAAATAAAGACGAAACGCTAGACAGTAGAATAGATTGACGCTGATTTTGTAGATACGAAGCCATAAGTTTGACAGAAGTTTTACAAAACATACGTAGTTTTGCACAAAGGACATTATGGTTTACTGTATCGAAGTCTTTACTATAGTCCAGTAAAAGTAAGAAAGTAACATTATTTTTGACTATTTATTTCCTTAGGTACAGCTTCTGTTTTTCCTAAAACTAGACTGATTGTTATTAAGCATTGCATTGTTTATTTATTTTCAGTGATTTCAGGGACTGTGCAGTAAAAGAAATTTTTATTAAGTTCATTAGCATTTATGTCTGGCTCAAGTCTTGGTTTAACTTTTCATATTCTTCCACCATTCGATTATGACGGACAGTTCAACATACGACATTACTACACAAAGGTTGGGATACACACATTTGTAAGTTGTCAGAGTGGACTTTACAAGAAGACACTACATTTGGAAGCTCATTAACATACATAGAGAAAAGCGGGGAGCTGCTTAAAGTTAGATGTTTGAGAGGGTGTTACTATAAAATATTTAACACTCTTATAAGCTTATACCAGAAAATACCATGTCTCACAGTATCAAAAACTTTGCTAAAATCAAGTCAGATTAATAGTTTTTGTCAGAAGTTTGTAACGCAGTATTGGAGACGTACTCCATAAAGTATATATATTCTTGATCAGGATCAATAGGGGAGTCGATATCGCCATATACGTCTGTCTGTCTATTTCAATACCGTTTGCGAGCTTAGTTTAAAAGCTAGCGATCTGGTCACAGTCGTCCTAAAACATGTGTACGCAGATTAAGTTTGAAAAGTAAGTAAGTAAGAATAATCTGATATAACTTACAAGAATATTTCGAGCAGTGTGAAACCTATTGACATGCATCTTTCTAAATCACCCTACAAAAGTAGGGTGAAATCGGTCCACATTTTATGTTTTTAAGGATATTTCGCGCAATGTATAAGCTGTTGACATCAATTTTTCAAAGCTCTATTTATTTACGCATATCTTAATCAGGGTAGAGAACCTATATTTCTCTGCATGGCAAATAGCTTGGTTATTAGGTTTTCGGTATCTTAGGACAGGAAGATGGACCAGGAGCAATTTCCTGAGTTAAGTTAACGAAGCGAGCAACAACCGCCTTCGCGTGGAACCAAATGTGAAGTTGTTTATTCTTACGTCTTCAACAGCCTTAGTGGCCAGAGTGGTAAAAATAAATGTGTATGGGTACAAGAGCTTCACAACCAACGGGAGGTTCAAGTAAACAATAATGATATTTAAGTTCAAGTTTTACATGTGGATTCTTAAAGCAATATATGGAAAAATCGTTGGCAAAATAATCTTTTAAATTTTGGATTAAAGCTATAAAATCCGACCGCCTCTATCGTAAATTAAGGACAGCTACTAATACGCCTCATTCACTAATGCAATTAAGCCATACCATATCGTGTATTATAGGTTAGATCACAGTCATTATTAATAAAAACATGACCACAGTACTCATGAAGTATGAACTCAGAACTGGGCATTGCACAAATTTTTGGTTTAAGTCTTTAACATACGAATCAATTTCCAATAATGGTTTTGGTTTTCTAACATCTATTGTTGAACTTTGTATAAAAATATTTACATTTACTTGAGTAAATTAATTTCGTTACTTCTTGCCTAGGGATTTGATCCTTTATATGAATAGATTGCTTTATCCCTTTTTCATTTTTTAAAAGCCTAATCTCTTAGTTTAATACGGCTTTAGACCGTTGCTGTTTATTTTGTCTTACTACTCCGGTTTCTGAGGAAACACAGGTATAACATTACATCACTCTCATTATACCAGTGCAGAGGATATTAAATTTCAGTCAGATGTTTGCTAATACGGGTATGACACTACATAGTTCGCCTCATTCATTGAGGTATTCATCGAAGCTCAGAGACAGAGACAACAATATGGGTACCGCTTGAAATTTTTTTTGTAAAAAGTTCACGGTCACACTGCCTGGTTAAAATTATTTCGTTTTGTCGTCAACTCCAAGCAAAGAGCAATATTGTACTTTTTAGATACAATTTTGCTCATTGATGTATCTGCCACGGTGTTGTTTCATCGAGTAGTATTTTTATACCCAAATCCATATTTTACATATTTATTACTATCGGGTATCGGCTCTGACAATTTTGTTCATTCATTGCTCATTGGAAGCCTCATAGGTTGTCTTGCTCGCACTTACGTTAAATCGAATAGTTAAAAAAATAAATGAGCAATGAATGAGGTCAACAATGTAGTGTCATAAGCCCATAGGCAGTGAAGACAGTGAATTATCCGTCTTGATCAGCATCTGTCATTTAATTTTTTTGCTATTTTTCCTTTTTCGATTTTCAAGATATTGCATTGAATTAATCATACAGAATTGGGATTTAAATTTTATTAAGTTAATTAATTAGAGCTCCCGTGAGAACAATCAGAATACTAAAAAAAAAAATATATAAGAAAATGTAACTTTTCTAATATTAAATTTTTTTGTTTTTTTTTTTGAACATATGCTAGTAATGGATTAAGATTTCAGAATTATCCTTTTAACGATTTAGGAACGTTCGAAAAATTGAGGTTAAAATCGATAGTTTCAACGTTCTTATAAAAATCGAGGCATATCTAAATTCTGCAAAAGCTGTTTTTTGTTTATCACTTACGAACCATGTTTTGGAATCACGTGTAACATCGACTGAAAAGTTATCGAACAAGTATCTGAATTCTTTTATCTTGTTAGTCAGTTTCTGAGCTTTCTGTGAGACTTATTTATTGCCTGTATTAGAGCTTAAGAACTAACTTGCTGTTCTCATTGCAGCATATTATCAAAGCAATCATTTCATCACTATTTGCAAAATTCGGCATATAGATAAAAAAGATAAACTATTTAAAAGAGGTCTTATTATAGCAATACGACATAAAACTAAAGCAAAAACATTAAATACAAAAAAAAAGACAAAAATATTCTTTATATGGGGAGATAATTTAAGCGCAAAGCTCAGTGCGAGTTCGCATGCAGTGGCTGATTTGTGTTTTTGAACGAGAGAGGGGAAGAATTATGGGTCCCCACTTTCGTGTTTCTCAACGAGCTCTGTAAGCTCGTCTATCTCTCCACCAGTACAGCTCAAGCAAACCAAACCTCCATGCGAAAGCATTTTTAGATTTTTTAAGCGCATTGCTTCTTTGAGGATAAGCTAATGACCTCCCAGCTGCCCTCTTCCGTATCTTCAAATTGATGTTTTTCCTTTTACCGATTAGACTCCTTCGATTGTAGTACAGAGACTTTCTCTCAGCCGGTATCCACTTTAATTATTATAGTCAGGGGTATGATCGAGTTTTGCTGTTTTCGCATTCGGTAAATGTCGCGAATTCATGACGGCGGAGTAAGTTTCAGTGAAAAATATAACTGTTTAAACAGTGTTTTTCAGTTTTCTTCCTCCTTAAATTGAATTTACCATCCGCTGCTCGGATTCTCTCACGCAAGTAGACATTTGTTCCGACTGCTCCTGAAGGTGCACTCTTAGCAACTACATTATCTGCGAAGTGAAAACATCGGGAAAAAGTTCGATAGCGCCGCCGGTGTTGTTACGCAGACGCTTGTTTTTAGAAACCGTTGCTTTAGTTATACTCGTTGAGGAAAAGGAAACGTTTCCGACCCTCCAAAGAATTGATATTCTGGATCATGTCTCAGCGATTTGTGGGCGTGAGTGGGCGTGCCCCAATTCTGAAATGAACATGTGGTGCTAAAAACTACTATAATCTGCATCCAAAATCCCAAAACTTTAGCTATTATAGCTTTTGAGATCTCGACGTTAATACAGACGGAGAGACAGACAGACGGACAGATGAAAAGGCAAACGGACATGGCTATCGACTATGCCGTTGATTCTGATCTAGAACATATACCGTATGGGGTCGGAAACGATTGCTTCCACCTTTTGCTCTACGAATGACGGGTATAATAAACAAGTCCCAGAAAATAATCGTGGTTAAGTTATCGCTACTCCCAAAGTTGAACATTTATGCTAATGAATTCAGAAATATTGTAAGATTTGAAAGACTTTTGGATGATTCGATAGTTATTGACCGAACAAACATATTATATAATTGTTTTAAATTTAAGGGCTTATATACAGTTAGAATTTAAAATAATCGATTTTTATTCTTAGTGTTCAAGAATACACTCATTAAATTTCACATCGTTCCGGTGACTTTTTTCAAAGTAACACCCAAATTTTTAAATGCGTTTCAGAGTGCTTGAAAGTACAAGTACAAACTTTAAGCTCGCTTTTTTTCAGAATGGTGTTTTTTAAGTAAGTTAACAGTCTACTCAAAATCGAGCTTCTTAAATATATAATATTTAGTAATAAATCGAATATTTTTTTTTTCGGTGAATATTTTTTTTTTAATCAAATTAGGACCGAAAAAACTTTTTTTGTTTGTTTGAGAAACCGACATTATGTGAAAAACCTTTATTTTGCTTATTCCATTGATTAATTTCAAATGTCTACTTAGTCCTAAAATACAGTGAAAATATAACATAATGTTGAGAATAATTTGGTATATTTTCGATAGCAAAAATGCTGACACGGCTAAATCAAGAAATCAGTCTTGAGGAGATAGCTGACGAAATGCATTTGTATGAAAACGTTGAGCGTTAAGAGAATCCTACTGAAGACTTTCAAGCGTATGAGGAAAAGTACTTGCATGCCTTAACCTTATTCGCGTCGTTAAAGAGCGACCTTCAGCCAAGCGCTACACCTCAAGCGGATCACAACATGGCCACATTGCTGCAACAACAAAGTGAGTTCTATCAGCGGCCTTCTGAAAATGGAACATCATCGTTGGCCACGCCGCCGTCTGCTGTAGTTCTGGCCTCTTCTTAAAGACATTAACGAAAGCAGCGTCCGTATCAAAAGTCACCTAGGAAAGATTCGAAAGTTTTACTACCTGAAGTCGCTTATAGTTGGTGAAGCGGCCAATCTTCTCAGTCACATTAAAGAATCAGCTTATTATTCGACATGTGAACGCCTCGACGAGCGATATCGCAGTTCATCAACATTATCACCGGCACTCAAAAGAAGCACATTGCCCACAGCTTTGGTGTACGTCCAAAACGCTAAAGGGGCTTTTAAAGTTGGCCGTGTGCTATTGGATAGCGGCTCTGAGCTGTCTTATGTATATGAACGTTGCGTCAACGCACTTAGGCTCGATCGTTCACCCTCAAAGATCCTATTCTCCGGAATATCTTCCGTAAAGGCTGAAACTACACGAGGCTTGGCAACGCTGCTCATCAAATCAATGGTGTCATTGCATTGTTCTCGCAGCCCATGTGCTAGGCAGAATCAAGTCATCACTTCAAAGAGACGATATTGACGAAACAGCTTTAAGGATCTACGACCAGTTGACATTTTACTGGGCACTGAACAAATTTGGCGTGTTCTGTCAGGCAAGAAAAGCATGGTACCGATGGAAATATTATATCAATCATTTCGATTTTTTTTGCAATCGCCAACACGCTTATGATTTCGGTTGACATAAACGCCTCTCTTCAACGCTTTTGTGAGATCAAGGATATCACTGAACATTAACAAAGATCCTTCGCACGAGAAGGTGGAGTAGCATTTTCTGACCACACATTCTCAAGACCCAGACGGAAAATACATCGTTGAACTGCCTGAAGGGCAATTTATAGCCGACTTGCCAGCTGTTCGGGTACGTCAAGCATTTCCATTTGAAAACACTGTGTGCGACAGTGCCGGACCGCTTTTACTCAAAGTGTACAAGGAACAAAATCCACGAAAGGATACAACAGTCTTTTCGTCGTCCAAGTAACCTCCGCAATTCATTTGGCTACAGATCTCACCCCGGAGACATTTCTCGCTGTACTTCGCCGTTTTATCTCCCATCGAGGCAAGTGTACGCACATCTACAACGACAACGATCGTAACTCTGTTAGAGCAAAGAAAGCATTGGACGAGATGTATAAGCTCAGCTGTCGCAGCAGCACAATAATCAATTAACCAACATTGGTCAGCGAGGTTATTAAATACAGCTTTATACCACCTCACGCACCACACTGGGGCGGAAAATGTTCGCTCCGTAAAGCTACACCTGCGTCGGGAATTCCATCCTCACATTTGAGCAAATGCACACCCAAAACGCCCACTGTTCGCCACATCATACATCGAGGTTTCCTACTTTTTAACAGCTCATCTGCTGATTGGACGCCTATATACATCGGCCCCAGAAGGCGGTCTTGGCCATGTTGCAGTTAACTGGATTACTGGAAAAACGTTCAGGCAATGCTACAAGGCTTCTGTAAGAGATGGCATCAGGAGTACCTCACAACAGCGATCGAAATAGAATACGGAGAGGAAGAACGTTGCTACTGGGGGCATGGCGATCGTCAAGGATTCAAACACACCCCCCGCCGCATGGATTCTGGCGCGCAAATTCGAGGTATATCCGCGCAAGGACGGGCTGGTACGCGCGGTCAAGCTGGGAACTGCATTAGGAGAACTTGTCAGACCCATTTCAAAAATTGCCCTTCTGCCTAATTTAGAAACTTAGTTTCAGTGCGGGTCGGGATGTTGAAGAATCTAATAACTTTTTTGTAAAAATTTCGTATATTTTCGATAGCAAATAAGATAATCTTCTTTGAGGTAATTCGATCACACGGATATCTCGCTCTCTTTTTTTTGACCACGAGGAGTCAACATTGATTAAAATAATAAAATAATAAATAATAGTGTTACATTAACCCATCCAATCGAAGGTGGTCATTGAAACCACTTAGCGTGATCTATTCGTCAACACATAATATGTGTACAAAATATCAGATAAATCAATTTAATAGTTTTTTCAAAAAAATGTTCCATAAATTCGTTCTTCGGCCTTCTTACTGGATAGATATACATAATTTTTTATAGCCGTTACTCGTAGACTAGAAAGGCATACAAATTTGACACCAGCTGCCCTAGGGACAATCAGGACAAAATTATTAAATTTCGATGTTTATTTTGTTTTTTATCGTCAGTACATATTGCTGATTTTTTGGCTTTAATGGAGTTTTAATAGAACTACGATCCTGTATTTTGATTTTGAACAAAATCGATTTACTATATCTTATTATTCGCGTAGTATACAGGCTCTTAAAATTGTTTAAATTTAAAATTTTATGTGTAAACTGTACCCTGATTATGTTATATAATCTACTTAGCCTATAGTTGCCTAAGGAATATTCTGATAAAATTAGTTAAATTTTGTTGTATTCGAAGAATTAAGCATATATGTCGATCTGCTTCTATTATTTCGTTCATTTCGGATATATCTATAGACTTAGACTTGTAGGATATTAAATCTTTGACTTGCCGAAGCTAACATCTTTTTAAGTAGATTTGGTAACAGATTCCATAACATATGTGTAAAAACTCAAATTATTCGCATAATTACACGCTTTAACTTAATAATAGTAATTATAGATAAACTTATTTGTTTAATATATTCTTTTTAGGATGGAAAAATATCTAACCAAGAGTTTAAAGATGCAGTAAAAAAAACTTGTGTGGGCAAAAAGTACGAGGAGTTTCCACAGGTAAGAAGATGATGAGCAAAATTTGTGCAATTTTAATATAAAGTTGGTCATTGGCTGAAAAAAAGGACCGAAATCTTTTGAAGGTATATTTAAATACTACAAAATTATAAACTATTAGGTTAGATAAGGTTGGATCTGTCGCCAGGCCAGAATGCCTATTACTTATTTTGGAGTAAGCAATCTCTCATTTCTCTCCTGCTTTAGTGAGCTGTACAGACTGTCCCAGAGAACTGGGAGCTTTTCTTTTTCAGGAAATCGCATCCAGGTCAGATAAATCATTGAAGAAGTGGCACAAGTGGTGAGCCTCTTCTTCATCAAGAGAATATGTAGTCCTGTTAGTTTTTTTTTAAATATCACTTGGTGACAATACTAAGTCTTCTTAATTCTTGCATCGGTCACTTCATTATTATATTGGTAATTTAATTTAATTTTTTGATTAATTAATTTATTAAAAAATTTAAATTAATTGAATGGGGCCATGAGTACTCTTATCTCTGAATGTCTGTAATCTGCTGTCCCTTAATCCTTAACCGTGACATAGTGGCTGATGTGAAGTTACTGTTGGTCAGACAGTTGGCCTCGCCTTGGTTCATAACGGGAACGAGGTTCTTCTAAAGAGACTGCCTTGCAGTTATCGTTTGATCCTTGACTGCCAGCTGCGCCGTAATGATCATATAATTAATTTGACCTTCTTTTAATAAAACCTGGCACATATACAAATGTAGGACAACATGAAGTACTTATTAAGCAATCAGCATCTAAACGACTTAAGTAGGAAACAAACTTCCTTAGTCGATTATACGACTAATATTCCGAAAACAGCGGCAGATGAAGTAAACTCAAATTTTAAGGGAATGAATAAAAGAGTTGATACAAGACGGCTGTATTGCAAGAATCTTATTATCTTATCCGCATAAAAATGATTAAGCGGCGTGAATTTTTCATCTTCAAGATAAAGTGATAATATTATTTTCTGTTTTCACGCGTGTATTTTTTTTAAGAATTAATTTATGTTGTCGGAACTTCAGTTTTTGCAATTTATACAAACTCTGTCGAGCTGTAGTATCTTTATCAGTAAACCTATCCTCATAGCATGTATAGAAAAGTTGAAGAATGATCTAGTGAAATAAGCTGTCGATGACCGAAATCGGTTAAGCGGAACTAGAGATGTAAAACAGAATTTGCAAGAAACAGGCGAAAATCATTATTTACACTTTTAAAATAAATGGTACCATACAAAACAATTTTAGTGTCAATTTCTGAATCTGGAAGTCCATTTGCACCGGAAAATCAAGGTTTGGTCTCTGGAGGATTTAATCACTTTAAATTTACAACACGGAGCCAATTAAAAAAATAATTTTTAAAGAGGGTATTTGGAGCTCCAAGAAACAGTGGTAATTGATCCGCGTTTCCTAAATCTGTGTTGATACGGTTTACACACAGTTTATTGCCTTTCTTGTAAAGTGGAAATACTAACGACTCTTTTCGAATATGTGGAAATTAAAAAGTTTCAAATAGTAAGGTAAAGCATTTAATAAGGCGTTTGCAAATAGCCTCCGCGCAAATACTAAGCGCGTAGCCAGGAAATCAATTGGGCCATGTCGTAAAAACAGGTTGAAGATTTAAAAAAAAGAACTTTCGTTTAAAGTTGAACAGGAAATTTAGGTTCGACTGGAAAGCGGTGTAAGAGTAAGGCTGAGTTGAATGAGCGGATGTAGAATAAGTCGATTACGATTTACGTATAATGTTAACAAGATTATAAAACTGTTAAGCGTCCTACAAGAACTGGACCATACAAAGGGTACTCAATATAGCGTACTCAATATTGAATCCTGAGAATTATATTTTTATTTAATGTACAAATGAGCTATTCGCACCATCTAAGAGAGGGACTGTCAACTTATCTTTTCTGAAACCGAAATGCGACTCCGAAATATTGCCGAATTTGGTTATGAGAGTCCACAAGTGCATACAAAATTCCAGCCAGACAGTTTGAAGCCTATTTCTACAGTCGACTACAAGGGGTAAATTTATTATCAGTCTTTTATAATAAAAACGTAAGATATGATTTGCATCCTAGTTAAGAATTCGTAAAGCGAAAAAAAATATTTTTTTGTACGGACATTGAGTCAAGATGAATTACGTTTTGCAGACTCCAGGAGACACACAATCCTGAATCGGACGGTAAAGAGAAGTAAATAAAGTGTGAGTGAAAACGAGAATTCTCTTGACCACCTTTTAATACAACCAAGAACAAAAAAAAAACCTCAGTCACCAAGGACGTTTGATGATCTGAAAACTTAAATTTTTGTGTGCAATAGAAGTCAGCATCGATTACAAAAATTTTTATTGCATATTTTTGATTGAATAGTTAAAAAAAAACAAGATAGAATTCTAAAGTGGAGTTTTCCTACTATTAGATTCCCGTTACTACAATAAACTTCAAACTAAGTATTTCCCCTACAAAACAATCGAAATTGGCGTATCCAACAGTAGAACCTAAGTGTGTGCAGCACCCCCACCACCCACTAACAGTTCAGTCGCTCTCTCGCTCTCTTTCTCTCTCTCATCTGCTACCATTTAGTTAATTATCAGGCACTAGTTCTGAAAGTTATTTAGTTTGGACTGTAAGTATAAATGACAGGAAATACTCTTATAAAGGAAATATTCTTATACTAAAAATAAATTAAAAACTGCGATGTTATAATTTCTTCTTATATTTATTCCGGATGTTCCTATAGTCGTCCGATCAAACTCGTTCCACTTTATACAGGCCTGTTCCAGTTTTCACTCGGAAGGGAATTCGTTAACATTGACGGTTTTTGCAACTTTTGGCAAATAGCGAGTTGAGAAGACTACAACTGTTGGACACTAAACGCAATTACCCAAATTTTAGAAACCCCCGGGCAATGTTGTGTTGATTTTCTTATATGATATAGTCGACCGATTTCTATAAAACTAAAACCCGTAATTGTAAAATATTTAACCAATACTATATCTCAAAGAATGGTAAACAAATTTAATAAAAAAAAAAAAACAGCGAAGTTATTTATTTTTGATTTATTTTTTTTTATATTTCGATTATTAATATGGGAGCTATATGCTATAGTCGGACGATCTTAATGAAAATTTACCCGTAATTCCGAAACAATAAGCCAACACTATATCTTGAAGAAATAAAAAAAAAAAAATTTTTTAAACAAAGTTATAATTTTTTTTCATTTAATTTTCGGTTGTTCCTATGGAAGCTATATGCTATAGTCGGCAGATTTTAATGAAATTTAAACCGAAATTGCGAATTATTTAACTAACACTATATCTCGAAGAACTAAAAAAAATAAAAAACAACGAAGTTATAATTTTTTTTTAAATATTATTTCGATTGTTCCTATGGGAGCTATATGCTATAGTCGTTCCGATTTATATACTTCCTGCAATAGGAAGACAACTTTTGGAAAAGTTTCATGCAGATAGCTATAAAAATGAGAGACTAGTTTGCGTAGAAACGGCCGTACAGACGGACAGACGGACGGACGGACTCGTCTAGTGATGCTGATAAAGAATATATATACTTTATAGGGTCGGAAATGTCACCTTCACTGCGTTGCAAACTTCTGACTGAAATTATAATACCCTCTGCATGTAAAAAACAAAACAAAGTTCAGCGATAAACATAAATATATGTCGGAGAGTATGTAGTGCAGCATTTCGACAGGTATGACCATGGGTTGTGCTGGTATACTAGATATTAGTTTTGGTAGAATGGGGACTCAGTTTGCGAGCTGAGGCCGAGTGTGACTTCGTATGCGTTGCTAGGTCTGGTCTCTCTTCTTCTTCTGGTTTGTAGTGTGACGTGAGATAGACACGTGTTTTGGTCCGTAAGAGAGAATTATGAGCAACAAAGGCATCGAAGACTCGCTGCATTTGCCAGAATTAAGTTCAGGCAATCAAGAACCAAACGATCAATTCACCAGCAATGACGACTTACAAGGGGATGAATTTAGTTCTCCGACATATATTTCGAATTATAGTGAATCGCTTTGGACCATTAAATCAAAAACAAATATTCTTCGTCGACCCAATTAGTGCAAACTTAATTCCCTCAATTTTCGTCGTAGTGAGCACCAATTTAAGGTATTACCAAAAAAGCTGGAAAAAAGGGTGAACTGTGAAAGGTGTTGTCTGAGGAAATATCTTTTTTTTTCAATTGTTGGTTTGCTTCAACGCTCGTTCGTTTTTTTTTTTTTCGTTCGGCATAGTACTGCCGTTGGGGTAATAAAAAAAATATACAGGCCTTTTCCGGTTTTCACTCGGAAGTGAATATGATAACATAAGTATGATATGATTTAACATAGGAAATTTTTTCTTCTTTTGATCCCTTTTGTTCCCAAAAAAAAAAATCAGCTGACTGGCAGCAGTGCCCTATTGACAAAGGCGTTTGAATTGACAAAGTTTTGCAGCCTCAGGGCAAATTAAATTTTGGCCCGCTGGTCCCCCTCAGCTAATGAGATTAATGGTATACTAGTTTAGCGCATAGGTTAGGTTAGGTTAGAACAGCTTACAAATTATGATACACTTAGACCTAGAAGGCCCATTGTGATACCTCGTGGATCTGTGTCCCCTTTTCTATATTATTGTCTTCTGCCCTTACCGCAGCTGACCTAGTAAAACTCCCATCCGGTTTCTTTCATGAATTTTATTATTCGCTTTAGGCTTATATTCGCCAGTTCAGATAAACAACTCATGAAGGGATTCCCTAAGTGGTACAGTCTAGACCTGCATAGGGCCGGGCAGGAACAGAACAGGTGTTCCACCGTTTCCTCCTCCTCCTCGTCCCTGCAGCTTTTGCAGAAATCGTTTTGGGGTGCGCCCAGTCTGCTTGCATGTGTGCCGACCAACCAATGGCCTGTAAGCACTCGTATTAGTATTCCGCACTCGGTACGGCTTAGTTTTAGAAGTTTAGAAGTTCTCTTCGCATTAATAATTGGCCGTGTCTGGCG